TAATAAGGGGATGATATTCAATACAATGTCAGAGATGAAGCTCTTCCTTAAAGACTATGTTGTGTATCATCATAGGCCGTACAACGTCACTCATTTGGACTAGGAGTTGAAGTACCACGTGATATGCAAAAACGGTTGTATGTGTAGGTTAAATACACGAAAGAGACAGAGTGATGGCAAGTGGAGGATAAGTAAAGTGATCGAACCCCACACTTGCCTAACAAATAGAGGGAAGGAAAATCATCAGCAGCTCACTGCACGTTACCTTGCCTGTCGTATATTGGGGCTCGTTGATGACAATAACGACATTTCGGTGTCTTCGTTACAACAGTCCATATTTGGATTCGTTAAGTATGATGTGAAGTACGAAAAGGCTTGGCGTGCTAAGCAAATTGCCCTAGCGATTCGTTGGGGTAGTTGGGAGGAAGCGTACAATAGGGTGCCCCGCATCTTATGTGCAATGCATTACTACAACCCTGGCTTGAAATGGTTTGTGGACACCGGAGGGATGTATTTTCGCCAAAACTCCTCCCAATACATTTCTTGCATCTAACAAAACGGTTGTAATTTAACAAATAAAAAATCAAAATATCACAAATTAATGTCAATGAGAACCATTTGCATTACAACAAATAAAATATAACCTACACTAACTAACTTCACTAACTATACCTATCTAGCTAACTTTACTATGCGGCGCGGAGTGAAACAAAGAGGGAAGAAAGGGACTGGGCCGCGGGCCTCTATTTCGCTCTGCCACGCTCTGACGGGTGGCGCGTCACAGCCACGCCCTGATCGGTGGTGCAGCAAGGCCTGCCACGTAAGCGGCCAGCGGACCGAGACGTTGCCACGTACGCACCCCTGCCGTGCCGCCATGGCGCGGCAGAGTTGTTTCGCCGCGCCCTGGAAATAGGCGCGGCCAAAAGTGTTACTTTTGAAAAAAAAACAATGTTAGAATTAAGAATAGTTTAAAAAAGTGTTAAAATAAAAAAGGTGGGGGACACTCTCCCACACCGATGATTTAAATTATGCAGTTTCATGTTATATTGTTACGTTGGCGAAGCATTGTTGGAAAAAGCCCGCAATAAGTATGTTTGGTTGAGCTTCTAATTTTTTTCAAGGGGAATAAATCCTATAATAAGGAGAACTAAAAGGAGGTTATATACTCCATCTTTCCTAAAATATAAGGTACTTTTAGTTGTCTTAAATGAAACTGTCATGAATTTGATCAAGATTATATAAAAGAACAAAAAAAATACTTAAGATACTAAATTAGCATTATATTAGATATGTTATTAAGTGTAGTTTTATAATTCACCTCTTTGATGATGTGGTAGGTCTTAATACCCTTATCTTTAAAATCTAGCTATAAATTTGGTTAAATTCAGAATAATCTGACTTTAGACAACTCAAATAAACGGAATTCATAAGATGGTGTAATCATGTATGTGTTTATGGTCCTACAAATAAACAAAATTTGTAAAATGGTGCTATGTATTTTTCTTTTCTTTTCTTTCTTTCTTTCTTCTTCTTCTTCTTCTTCTTCTTCTTCTTCTTCTTCTTCTTCTTCTTCCTCCTCTAGTACCCATATTTTCTCCATCCCTTCCTTCTTGCTGAATACTAGGATCCATTGCAGGAAAGAGAACAAAATTGGAGTGTCTTTAACATGTCTAGCTCCAGATTCTTTTTGTTCATAATTCTAGCTACTGAGTTATAGTAGACACTTTATTTTACTAGAGTCGAATTAATTAAATTAGAGTTAAAGTGTTTATTTTTGTAATTTTATAGCAGAGATGGCATAACTAAAAATTCTAAGTGTTCAACTCCTCAAAAGTACTAGAATTGTGCAACACCTTAATCCGAGTATTAGAGCACCTATAGAACTCAAGAATTTTTTACTACGCCCTCCATTCCGAATTGTAAGATGTTTTGGCTTCTCTAGAAACATATATTTGCTATGCACTTATATAAACACTATGTGTACAAAAGGTTCTATAGTTTGAAACGGTGAGAACCTCGTACTCGAAAAAGAAAGATTGTCCGAAAAAATATCAAAAAACATAAACACTAATCAACAATGCATAAAACTCTAACCATTATCGACACTTCAAGAGAAATCGTATTAAGTAAACCTCTAATCTATGTATAAATTTTGAAGCCCTGGGATTCTAAAAATAACTCAAGGTTGTATGCATCGTCAAAAAGTTTGGTGCCGAGAAGCAAAAAAAAAAAAAAAAAAAAAGAGTGCTGAGTAGAAACCCCCCAAATACTTGTTTTTGATGTAAGCTTTTACAAAAGCGTTTTTTTAGAAAAAAAATATTGTTACCTACTCCTGTATATATGGTTCTTTTTTTTCCCTACGGGCAAAGAGAATATTTCATTTCTAGCTTAAACTGGGATCACGATCATTTTGAATGAGTTGCAAGTTTGCAACTGTGGAAACATATGGCCTGGGCAATCGAATGAATAGTGGAAGAATGTACTGTACATACGATGCATGATATGCTGTTCAGTGGCTCCATGCACGGAGGTGGTGTGGAGTGGAGTCAAATATGAAATGAGCGAATAGGTTGCGACCTCTGGTTTAATGAAAAGTGAAAGAAGAACCGAACCGAGTTCCTGATGATTAGTGGTCGGTGGAGCCGATGCGATCTGCACCCGCAACTTGCTCCGCTTCTCCCTCTCTCATGACCATAATGCCGTATTTCAGTACCAACCAAACGAACAAAATATTGCATCATTCTTCAAAAGCTACTGCTGGAACCTATATATTGCGTCATCATTTACAACTCATGTTAGAGAACCTTAGAGGTTCAGGTGGGGAAGAGCCAAGCGTGCGTGCGTGCATCATGCAGTGGCAGGGGACTGGGGAGGGGTCAATTTCAATTCAGAACGAAACAAGCACGTGAGGTCAAGCAAGCAAGCAAGCAGGCTAGCCAAGTACAAGATGGATTGGCGGGCAGTGAAGGCCACCGTGAAGTGCAGTGTAAAACCGAATGACCAACTTGGTTTCCTTATTCAGAAAAGGAAATGTAGTACACTCAAAGGACCTCGAGTACTACCTCTGTCCTAAAAAGAACGTAACTATAGGTTACGTGTCACGAAAAATAGTTCACATTTGATCAAGTCTTTAGTGAATAATATTCATATTTATGGCTTTTAATTAATTTATTATAAAAATATATTTCATAATTAATTTGATGATATTTATTTGGTATCATAGATATGAATATTTTTTTATCTATAATTGATCAAACTTAAGAGAGTAAAACATGATAGTATGCTATAATTACATTCATTTAGGCACGAATGTAGTAAAACACAGTGCCATAATCCGGCTTCAAGTTAGTTAATCAGTCGATCGCTAGTCTAAACCTGAGCTGTAAACACCAAGACAAAGACCAGTAAGAATATTCAGCCTATTCGTTTGGTTGTGTCTTGTCGTAAACGATCGTAAATTTCCAGCCAGAATAGTATTTTTCTCTCACACAAACCAGCCAGCAGCACTTCTTCACAAACCATCAGCGATATGATATGAACCAGCCAACCGAACAGTGCTGTAAAACTAACGGTCACGAATCCCATCCCGGACCTGCAGTGTGTCTGGTGTCTACCGACCTCGCTCATCCCCAAAACCAGTGATGGCGGATTAAGCTAAGCTAAGCTAAGCACGGATCCAGCACATTGACAAAATTAACCAAAAGTTTACTCCTATCCTATCCTATATGAACTGACAAATTTGCGCTTTTGGGCGAGGCGTCGGCGGCGGCCGACTGCAGTTGGCAAACAGAACAGGCAAAGCGAATAAACAAACGATGCAGAGCCCCGAGCCCCGAGCTGAAGCCGATCCCGGAACGGTAAATGATCGCCACAAGATTAGTGCTCGTCGCATCATCACACACAGTCTGAACACGTATATAGAAACTACGACTCTCCGAGAAAGGTGCAGGAGCAGGAGCAGGACACAGCACACGCATGCTTTTCTGTGGCCTCCTCCTGGTCGATTCAGAACACTTGCCTGAATTGAATGAAACACGAGCCAGTACGCATCTGCTGCCGCGTGTGTAGTCACCGATGAACCCAACTGAATGCACGGACGACGCGAGGGCTTGACACGCTGCGTGCGTTGGTTACTAGTTAACCGAATCCAGCCAGCGGTTTTGGTGAGCTAGCTCCTAGTTGTGCTGCCGCCATAAACGTGTGAAATTGAAACAGTTACGCGGCTCCCGGCGGCTGCTTGGGGGCGCGACAACGACGACGACAAAGCAGGGCGCGCGGGAGAGGAGAGGAGGAAGTTTGGAATTGCTTCGCTCGGACGACCGCCGCGCGCGCCGACCTCGCCCTCGCTTTCCCTGCCCTTCCAGTTTAGTCTCCAGCCTCCCCTGTACGTGTCCGTGTCTATATAAACGGCATCGCCCCGCGGCTTCTCACACCCTCTCCTCCTCCTGATATCCCTCTCTCTCTCTCTCTCCCTCCCTCCCTCCTCTCCTGATCGGCAAGGCAAGGCAAGGCAAGTTGAAGCAGCCTCCCTCCCCTCAACCTGAACAATATAATAATTTGTTCTTCAGGCCCGCCCAGCCCTTACTTAATCTGGCTGGCTGGCTGGTAGCTTAATCTAGCTAGCTTAGCTAGGCTCGGCTGACCCTGATAATGATCTTGGACTCCAGCAGCTGCTTCTTCATCATCGCCCGCGTGCTGGTTCTCCACACTAGGAAGAGCTTCTATTTCTGGATTTTCCACATCTTCAACAGATGTCCCCTCCTCCTTGTCCTCCTCCATTGCCACTAATCTAATACAACAGTCTACATACATCTGCTCGTCATCTGCCTGAAATATTTGCTTGGCAGTTGACATTATTATATCTCAGCTCAGTTAGTATTGGATCAGCAGCATTTCCTGCCTCTTCTTTATATACATCCATCTTTCAGCTAGGTCTTCCTTATCTGCCTGAATACGTACCTTGCTAAGTGTGCATTCATATCATCGCTGTGATGGGAACCATGACTCTGCCGCCCGGTTTCCGCTTCCACCCGACGGACGACGAGCTGGTGGGCTACTACCTCAAGAGGAAGGTGGACGACCTCAAGATCGAGCTCGAGGTCATCCCCGTCATTGATCTCTACAAATCCGAGCCATGGGAACTACCAGGTGTGTACATATTCATACAGACAGACATACGTGCCAAAACCCTTTGACTTGTTAGACTTTTTTAGTTGTAGCCCATTGTTCTCACAGAAACAAGTGAACGACAAGAGTAAAATGCATGGTTGAAACACAGAGGAACATGTTCGACGAATATCACTTGCTAGAGACTAGAATAGAAAGTAAAAAAGGCGACCTTTATATAATTTTTTTTCTCTCTCCCGGGCATCTGCCCTTTTTCTCCCTAGGCCGGTTGCAGATAATAAGTTCTTGTATAGCCTTTTCAAAAGAAGAAACATGTTCCCTAGGCCGGTTGCAGATAATAAGTTCTTGTATAGCCTTTTCAAAAGAAGAAACATGTTGCTCAGAACAGAAAAATAATACTCCTATGCCATGTTCCCATTCTCTGACTGAGAACAATTATATTAGCACAGTTGATTTACAGAATCAGTTGAGTTTGCACAGCAGCAACTGATTCCTGTTCCATGGATTAACTGTGTATCGCAGAGAAGTCTTTCCTGCCGAAACGAGACCTGGAATGGTTCTTTTTCTGCCCCCGCGACCGCAAGTACCCCAACGGGTCGCGCACCAACCGCGCCACGACCACGGGCTACTGGAAGGCCACGGGCAAGGACCGGCGCATCGCCTGCGACGGCGGCGTCTACGGCCTCCGCAAGACGCTCGTCTTCTACCGCGGCCGCGCCCCCGGCGGCGAGCGCACCGACTGGGTCATGCACGAGTACCGCCTCTGCCAGGACATCTTCCACGGCGCATGCAACTTCATCGTGCGTCCCTTTCTTGTTTCTTTTGTTTTGCATCGATACATCAGTGCTGCTCAACTGAATCAGAATGAAACTGTCGTTTTCTTTTTCTCCTGTAGGGTGCTTACGCGCTGTGCCGCGTGATCAAGCGGCACGAGGCCGGGCTGCTGCAGGGCGAGCCGGCGGCGGGCAGGGCGAAAGCAACCGCCAGCAGCGCGAGAGGGCAGATGAGCAAGGTCTCCAGCAGCTCGTCCCTCGTCAGCAGCGAGCAGCTCAGCGCGTCGTTCACGCCCACCAACTCCAGTCCCCCTCCTACTCTGGACGTGGGAATAATGTGCACGATGGCTGATTCCGGCAACGCGTTCCAGGTACACAGCGTACACAAGCAGAACCTTTCCTCCCTGTCATCCTTTCATGTGTTGCTTTGTAGTGGTCCCGTTCGCTTCGCTGAAAAAACACGTCTAAACACTGTTCTGGCTGATTTGTTGTGAGAGAAAAACATTGTTACGGCTGAAAAAGACGGATTATAACCGAAGCGAAACGGTCCGATTGAAACGAAATTGATGTGCAGAGCCCCGTTGGCGTTGGGTACGGCGTGACGGCGACGGCCACCACCGGCACCGGGGGGTTGCCGTCGAGCTCACTGCCCCCGCCCCTGCTCCTGCCGTCTCCCCACGACACGTTTTTCATCGGCGACGACTTCTCCGCCGCGGCCTCAGACGAATCGCGTTCGCACGCGCACTTGTTCGGCGGCGACATCATAGGGATGGGCAGCGGCGTCTCGGAGCACGAGCTGAAATGGGACAGCTTCGCCTGCCCAAACACATTCTCGAGTGGTAGGTGTATCCTCCTCCTATGAATTGCGGCTCTCCGGTCACTTGATCGTGACCTCCGCCTATGAATGTGAATGACGGCGGTCTGTGTGTGTCTGAACGTCTGCAGGTGCCGACACGTGGAACACGGCGGCGGCGGCGGCGGCGGCGAGCCCGACGATGCTGTGCCGGCAGGCCAGCGACGGCATCGAGGACCTGGCGGCCATCTTCTTCTCGGACGACAACAGGATCGTCTTCTGATGTCAACGGAGTGCTCTGCACCTGATTTCAATTGCATGCTCCTGAAGATGCGTGGCATGTGTGTGACCTGCTCCCGAACTGGCGGTATATTTTTCAGCCTAGGAAGGGGAGATACTAGCATATCTACATATGTCTACATTCTGAGTTTTACTAGCTGGTAAGGTTAAGATAAAAAGGATATTGGGAATTACTAGTGATGGCTACGGAGTGATGGCATCTTTTATTACAGTCTTCTCTGTACTACTCGTGCTGTGTACCGTGTCACTTTCCGTGTGTCCTTTCCACCTAGTAGTAGTACTTCTGTGCTTGACCTGTCCTGTGCTGTGTACGACAGAGCTAGTATGTCGATGCAATATTGCACTGCTTTGTAGCCTTAATTATTAACCATTCTTAATTCCATGTCATTTCGTACTCAGTACATGCTGTTTGTGCTGCGTTCCAATTGGGGCCTCGTTCAGTTGCCTGGAATCGGCGCTGCCGAAGTACTGTAGCTTACTGTAGCTTAATGTAGCATTTCGTTTGTATTTGGTAATAATTGTCCAATCGTTGACTAATTAGCTCTTTTAGTCCGAACGGCAACCTTTGTAGTACAATTAATTTTTAAACATTTCTTAATTCATGTCATGTGTAAATTTCGTGAACTCAGTACATGCTGTTTGTGCTGCGTTCCAATTGGGATGTATTATGCCTAAAAAAAAACACATGGGTGCGTCAGGACTTCATCATCATGAAAAGATAGATCTGGACAACCAACGCGAAATAAGCCGCTAATTGCCACATGAACTGATCTCCCCAGTGAGAATTGAAAATGACAGCAAGCTCCCAGTGCTTGGAATTGTAAGGTAATAAAATAGATTCAGCGTGTTTCTGAAAGTTGAAAATTTGGCTACCGTAACACTTTCTTTATTTGACTATTAATGCTTGGGCTTAAAACGAAGCTCGTAATTTCCAACCAAATTATGCGATTAGATTTTTTTTCGTCTACATTTAATGCTCTATGCACGTATCTTAAAATTCGATGTGATGACTACTGTAGCACTTTTTTGAAAAAGTTTTTACGAAGTAAACAAGGGCTCAGTATAACGTTCGAGGTGGTAGCCAGCTGAAATAGCTTCATGAGCTGGTGAAAAGGAAGGAATGACTTCGCAGCCAAGGAGCCAATGACCAACCAATTACGTGACCATTCACCTGGTGCAAACAATGGAAACTGAATATTCTCATGAACTTGGACGACGACACGTAATTCAGCAGCAACGATTCCTCCCCAAGCAGTGTGGTGTGCCTCGCCGTCGCCGGCCGGCCAGGAAAGCTCCGAGCTGCTTCTTATAATCGAAATACCAGCAAGGAGAAAAGGAATAAACACAAGACGGGGGCAGAGAAGCACTATTTATTCAGTATTCACGACAGAAAGGGGATGGGAGAATATGAATAAGCAGGGAAGGGGAAAATAGGTCACCGTCATTCCACGAATCTGACGGCGAAAGGAGACGACGCCGGCGAGCAGCCCTCGTTAGCAAGTGATTGTTAATCGCGAGTGCGCTCCCTTTTTCAGCCTCCGCACTTGTTGCACTTGCACGCACCAACCTGCGAATGTTTGCGCTGGAGGCTGGAGCAGCGGAGACTGAGAGAAGGGAGAAGGAATCCCTGTTTCTGTGCTCTTGTTTTGGCCCCTGTCTCTGTCTGTCTGTATTCTATCGATCGAAGCGTGATGTCCAGTAATTGGTAAAAACATGGCTGTATGTGTTTTTTTTCCGGGAATGCTCAGCCACGATCGTCTGTCCGTGCCGACGCGGCTCCCAGTCCGCAGCGAACCGGTCTCTAAAAAAAACCCCAACGTCGCGGCTTGGCTGCTCATCTGGCCGCCCCGCCACGGCCCTTCCCCAACCGCGCCCGTCCCGATTCGCGTCATGCCCTTCACCTCACCGTGCCACACCCCATCCCCGCGAGCGGACGGCGTTGGACGATTGTGGTCGAGCAAGAAGCGGCGCTGGAGTAGCAGCAATAGGGCCACCGTCCATGGGGCGTGAGCCTAGGCCACGAGCAACGTTGGAGAATGCGTAGGAGGGCCGCACACCGCTGCACCGGCAAGCTCCATGCGCCACGTTGAGCTCCACAACGACAAGTGTTCATTTGTCCAAGCAGCAATGTGACATTGTGCTAAAAAGCATGTTACGTTGCAAGCGTATGTTTCAAGTGTTTCAGATATGTCATCTAGATGTTGCAAGTGTTTCAGAGATATGTTGCAAGCGCTGGTTCTCAATGTTTCATGATGTTACATATGTTTCACACATATGTTGCGAGTGTCTTATATATTGCGTATGTTTTGCAATGGTTTTTAAGTGTTTTCAGGTGTTTTTGCAAGTGTTTCAGACGCATGTTTCAGTGTTTTATTTGTCTTTTTTTTTATGTTGCAAATGTTGCATCTGAATGTTTCAAAAATAGATCAGGACGTTGCATATGTGTACACAACATCAGGGATATGTCAGGGATAGGGCGCGGTAGAGACGGGCATGGAGGTGAACAGGGCGTGGCGGGAGAGATGGAGCGGTGGGGGATGGCGGTGCGGCGGGGATGGGCCGCCGTGAGTGACGTGCGCGCTCCGTTTCATTACGTGGGGATAGACGCGCTCGCTTGAATCGTTGTTCTGCTGTGGGCCGGTTTCAGCGGATGGGTGAAATCACAGGCTGGGAGCTGCGTCGAGACGCGTCTTGGCGCCGGACGTCCGCGCGCTAGCTGTTCCTTTTTTTTTTTGAAACTTTGGCTGTATGTGTTGCATAAATTATTTTTTTTGAGGGAAAAGGAAATAATAGTCGCAGCAAACGTCCTAAACCGAAACTCCATGGGCCGGCAGCCTGCCTGTTAGTCCTAGCCCAAGTTACGTGCTGCATCCTGGGCTCCTGGCCCATCATCACCCTCAGTCGAGGCCAGCAGGCAGGCGATAGCACCGGCCGGCCGGCCCCGCCCTCACTCGTCCCGCGGTCCCGGCCGCCTCCATCGTCGCCGTCTCCAATGACGGCAGCGGCGGCGGAGGCCGTGTCGCGCCGCCTGGGCGCGGCTGTGCGTGACCTCTCGGGTTCGTGGTACGGGCGCCACATGGCCGCAGCCGAGCGCGCCATCCGCGCGCGCCTGCCCCTCGTCGACCTCGTCCTCGAGGTCCGCGACGCACGCGTGCCCGACTCCTCGTCGTTCGAGCCTCTCCGCCGCCGCCGCGGGCCTCTGGAGCCAGACCGCCGCCGGGTCGTCCTTCTTAACAAGGCGGACCTGGCAGACCCGTCCGAGACCGAGGTAATCAGCCCCCCTAACCCTGCGCTGTCTGTGCGCTGCATATTGGGGAGAGTTGACGGCTGCTTCTGAATTCCGATGCCCGAGGTTGCTCGTGGTGGTGCAGGAGTGGGTGGCCTACATCAAGAAGCAGACGAGCTGCCCTTGCGTCGCGGTAAATTCTCACAGCAGGGAAAGCATCAAGGAGGTAGGCCACGGCCAGCAGTGCTATTTGTAGTACATGGATTTAGTAATTAGGTAGGTGATTCTGTGATTTGCTACTTGGAGATGCATGTCTAATATAGGCGTTCTTTTGAAATCTATCATGCAGCTATTGAATGTTGTGCAAACAAGAATCAGGGAGATCAAGCATGGCGAGAACAATTGCACGGGAACTGCCCTCCTGGTCGGGATTCCAAACGTTGGGAAATCGGCCATCGTTAACGCGATGCATCAAATTGGGAGGATTGCGGCAGCAGGTGATATATGCAGGTCATTTGTTGCTGCTCTGTTATGTGCTGTATCTGTTTTGGTTCGCTTCTTATTGCTATGTCCCCATGATTGTTGTCTGTCCAGAGAAGGGAAAGCTGAAGCATGCGATTGTGAGCAGCCATCCTGGAGAAACTAGAGACATAAGTGGATACAAGGTAAGCTTGTATGTTTAGGGACGCATGAAATGAAGTGCTGCATTTCCAGATCATCTTGTAATAGATAGCGTCATTACAAGTCGTTGCTGCAGTGCTGTCTGCATCAACCAAGAGTTCAATTTATCATTTAAAGGACAACAAAACTGAAGAGTGATTCTTATACAAATGGCAGTAGTGCATGTGTTTTTTCATTTTCTATTGTGTGCTCCTAGCAGTTAGTTCAACATGTTTTGGCTCAGCAACTGTCTATCTGATTCTCAAATGTCATGTACATATTATCAAGGCTTATTGATCTACAGGTTGCTAGTCATCCAAATATATACGTGTTGGACACTCCTGGTGTGCTGTCGCCTAGATTTAAAGATGATGGTTCTGGCCCCAGACTAGCCTTGACAGGTACCAGTTACTTCAAAGTTTATGGCTTCACTTTAGCTACATATTATTATCTGATGCATGCACATGCTTTTGCAGGGGCTATCAAGGACTCCTTGTTAGAGGATTATGATATCGTACAGTTTCTTCTTGCAATTGTGAACTCAGGGAAGGAATATAGGAAGTGGGACAAGTTGAATAAAGCAGGAGATACCTTTTCTTGTGGCAACACAATTACGTCCAGGGGCCACAACAATAAAGGGCAACATGCTTCAGATCACACTCAGGTAAATGCAGCAGAGAGTTTACAGCTCAGTTCCCTAGTAGCTGCAGCCTAGTTTCACTTTCATGCAATTTCTCACTGCTGGTACAAGAAAAATTATGTTTGTTTATCTAGTTTTTTCTGAGAAAGATTTATGGTTTTATCAGGAGTTCCTTTTTTTTTTAAAAAAAAATCAAATGTATGCACTGCTTTGTTGCCTTTGTGCAGGATTTCTTCGTGAAAGCAGTCCGCCAAGTGCTTTTTGAGACTGTATCTCGTTTTAATGGGGATCTGGGACACGTGGATGAGTTAAGAAGATTGATAGGCCACCAACTTGTAAACTTGCAGGAGGTTTTCAAAGTCTCCACTGAATCAAGCGAGGATATGTGTAAACCTATAGCTTTGAAACTACTCAATCTGTATCGGACAGGAAGGCTTGGCCATTATACCTTAGAAAATGTCCCAGATGTTAGGCAGGAAGTTGTTGCATAATTAAGTACTGCCTAAAGCATGTCTCTTTTTCTTTTAACCTTAAAACAAGGATTATGCATGGTTTGGCCAGGATGCAACCCCTCCTAGCTCTAGGTTGCCCAGGGAGGATGAGGTGCCGGCAGTGTGTGAATGTGGATCTGGCTTGCAAGTTTCTTCTCTGACTTCAAAGCCCAATCTCTGAAGGAATCACTCAAGAAATCAAAGGGGCATAGGCGCATAGCTGTGGAGCCATCATTGTGGGGGAGAGAGCTTGTCTCGAGTTTGGTCTCAAGGAATGCAGTAGCTAACCGTTGGAGGAGATAGGAGAAGAGTATTCATACCCAACCCCGCAAAAGAGCCATTACACTCAAAGCCTGAATGTTTCGCAGAAACTACCGAAGTTCAGCAGATGACCGGACAGGTTAGCCTAGCTCCGGCCAAAGTGCGAAACTGTAAAAATCTACAGAACTTCCACAACTAGTCGGAGGCAAGCAAGCACTGGAAATGTGGTGTGGAAAAAGTCTGTGGAGTAGTAAAAACCGAAAGCTGTTTGGTTAAACAAGTATAAAATATACCTTTTATCTTTATCTCTCTTAAAACAACTATGGAAAGCCCACTTTCAAAAATCTCAAGGTTTGCTGGATCAATTGAGCAGTTGTCCAAAGTAAAAACACTTCAAAGGTTTGCTGGATCAATTGAGCAGTTGTCCAAAGCAAACACTTCAAATTTGTATTCCTATATAGTATAGTATAGTATACAATAAACTCAATTCAAATAGAAAATACGATGTCTAATTGCACTCTGATAACTTTGATAAAATCGATTGCCTTCGCTTCTCGCTTCATCTGGGTTAACGACGGTGCTCTCCACAAAGCAGTAACCAGAGAGTACTTGTTTTCCCCTCCTTACTATGCTGGTCTAGGGCTACCTTGGGGGAGGAAAAACTCACAATTGAAGGGCCTCTTTGGTCCTAACCTTCGGTAAAGCAAAGTATGGCGAGTAAAATCAAAGCCACACTTGTGGCAAAGTCTGGCACGCAAATGAATCTATAATGTGTGGGATAAAGTGCTAATAAGGTGTGGCGCGTCATAATTGCAGCAGTAAACCAAACCGCTATGGAAAAACTGTGCCATAACTAACCTGTGGCGTGATAAGTTGTGGTCATGAACTAAACATGCCCTCAGTGTCAAGATCAGTTGCTAGGGGCTTCTCCGCTTGTCTAAATATCACTGCTGCTGTAACCCTTGCTTGGGTCCTGCTCAATTTGAGTTGGCAGAGTGCATTCTTGTTATTATCCCCATTACTAATCCAGGAGTTCAACGTTAGGGCCTACAGAGGTTGTCTTTTCCCTGATCTCCAGAAAGGTGAGAGCAAATTCCCAGTGATTGTTTATCCATGTACTTGTTTGCAAGATTGGTTCTGAGTGGATCTCAAATAACAGAGATTGCTACTATTCGAGAAGCAAAGCACATTCTCCATTTGTTTCCGTTATCGTTACATGCATATCTTATTAACATGTTGCATATTCCAAGGTTTTTCATTTTAATTCAAGTAAAATTTCCAATCTTTTTTTTACTTAACACAATATTCCTTGGAATTTTTTTGTTCTCAATTTTTGCTAGTTCAAAATTCTGAAACGGTGATGAGAAGAAATAGAAATAATCTAGAATTCTTTTCACCAATAATCTGATTATAAGTGGAAAGAAACATGACCTGTGACCGGCCTGGTACACCATGGAGAGTAGTAAAATAAAAAGCAACTAAGAAAAACCAGGACTAGGCTCTGTTACCGATGATACATATGCAAATTAAAAGCGCTTTTGTTGTTGAGAGAAAAAATAGATTCTATTCGATAAAATGGGATAAGTTCAAACGAACCGGAAGCTCGACCACCATCCGTGCATCACGCTGGGTTGACAGGACCATTCCGTGCATCACGCTTTGCAGGTTGACAGAGATCTTGTTTGAAGATTGATTGCAACCCTTCCACTCCAATGACTCAATGCAAACAAAGCGGCCCTCTTTGCAACCCTTGTCGAGATCTTGTTTGAAGACATATACCTTGCAACCCTTCCACTCCAAGGACTCAATGCACGTGGATTACGGTGGACTGAAGTGCAACCAAATAAGACATCAATTCAATCAATACATGATGGAGGAGATTTTGACGTGAAAATTTAGTTTATTTTTAATTTCAACTTTATCCAAACATGGCCGGCATGGATGATCTATAGTAATTCGCCAATCGTGCACATTGCCCCAATTATGAGTGTCACCTCTACCTCTGCCCTGTATCACGTCGCGTCTAGAGAATTGGCTCCAACGTGGCACTGGCGCCTGCATTGTGACTAGAGGCGTCACGAGGATATGGAAGATATAGGTTTGATGCTTGCAGTCTTGGTGCACCATGTATGATTACTAATAGCACCAGCATGTTGGTCTAACTAGGGTAAATTCAGAGTTACTACTTTGGACTAAACCGAACTAACGAAGCGTCCCGTTTTCTTCCGATATTTTTTTTTATCAAATGAGGAATCATTGAGCATTAGCACTTCAAGACCTCTGCAGTCTAGCGGACTGTTACGCCAACTTATTGGTTAGATATCTGTAGAAAAAGAAAACACCAAGGGGATGTAGCTCAAATGGTAGAGCGCTCGCTTTGCATGCGAGAGGCACGGGGTTCGATCCCCCGCATCTCCAATTTTTTTTTTCTGCTCGTCGGTCATCCAGTAGAATCTTCTCCCTCCAGCAGATTTTCGAGATTTCGATCATGTAGGTGCGTGCGTGTCCTTTCACGCCTTAGCAATACGTTTAGAGTTCAAGAGCATCACGCGTTGAATCCGATAAGCATGTCTAGGCAGCCGTTGACGAAGGAAAAGAGGGGGAGAGCTCAGTTTATTTTTATTTATTCCAAGAAAGACGACCAACATTGGCGTTCACCTCGATCTGACGAAACCGAAGAAGAAACACTGGAGTTGAGTCATGACCGCAGCATTCCATCCAGGAGAAGAATACGTCCATCCAATTTTCTCCTCCTTGGATAGGGCCATTGGCACGTTCTCCCCTGCTGCAAGCCCGAGTAGTACTACTCCCTATATACGGATGGATATAGTTGATATTACATTTTTTTTCTATTTTTATTCGGATTCAGATTCGAATACGAATAATATTATTAGATATGTCGGATAGGATATGAATGAATATCGATATCCTAAATATGTGATTTGAGTATTTGGATACAGATATGGTATTGGATGTTGAATATCCAGACTCAGATACGGAAAGATCTGAACTCATCTAAACGAATTCGGTCTCAGATATGGTCAAAAAATATCCATACCATTTGCACCCTTCAAATACAACCATCCAAATTTCTTGTCCTCACTAGGCCCATTGGCAGGTCCTCCCCTGCTGCGAGTCCTAGTACTACTCCCTCTCCCAGTGATGTAATTTTAGACTAGTGTTAAATCAAACGATATAAACACAATTTTATAATAGTATTAAGTCAACTCATATAAAATTTGATTAATTTATATAAAATATATTAATATTTATCATACTAAATAAGTATCATTAAATCTGTTATCAAATATATTTTTATTTTCATAGTATACTTGATTAGGTTTCAAAGTCATAAATGGATACTATTTGTATAAATTAATTAAATTTAAGATAGTTCGATTTGAACAAAGACATGGAAATAATATGGAACAAACCATAATTTATATAAAAATATTAATATTTATTATACTAAATAAGTATCAATAAATTTAAGATAAAAATATTAATAAAGTTTAGTTTGACCTGTGGCTCTGATATATCATCTGCCGTCTGGTACACACGAGGGCGTTGGGGTTGGGCAGCCCTGGATACGTTCAAAACCGGGGCGGTCCAATTTTTTGCAATTTGACATTTTTTTAAGAAAATTTACGTTTAACCCCATGGGTGACATAAACTGATCTTTGGACCCTGGGGGTCGGCGCCGTGGCCTACGACGCCGAGGTAACACGTCTCGGTGCCGTAGGTCTTGGCGCCGAGATGCCTGGCCAGGGAAAACGGGGCATCCAAGTGGCGTTGACGTGGTAGGTAGGTCGGCGCCATGGATCCTGGTGCCGAGGTCGGAGCCACAGATCTTGGCGCTGACCTCGGAGCCAAGATCCCAGAGCGCCGACCTCAGAGCCACAGATCTTAGCGCCGAGGTCTTACACCTATACCGCGCGCCCTCTTCCTCTTCCTCTCGACTCCGGCACGAGCTCTTTCTGTCTCTGTCGTCATTCCGGCCACCACCCACGCCAACACCTCCAGCCGCCCGCCCCACCACCTCCCGCCCGCCCGCCCCACCACCTCCGGCCGCCCGCCCCACCGCAATAGGCCGTGGCACCAGCTCCGAAGAGCTCCGCGCCCCGGTCCGCTCCCTCGGCCGCCCTCGTCACCCATCCTCCTCTGCACGCACCGGCGGCGAGGGCGACCCCCGCCTCTCCCCGACGTCCCCGCCGACCGACGGGCCACTGGTGGCCGCGCCTAGCGGTGCCTCCGCCCACCCCCCCACTAGCCGCCTTGTGAGGCCACCCCTGTCCCTCAGCCGACCATCAGCCAACTCAGGTAAGGTATTTTTTTTATTTTCTATAATTTTGTTTTACAATTTAGTTAGTTTAGATAGTTTAGTTAGCTAATTTAGTTATATAGTGATGTAATTTAGTTAGTTAATTTAGGTATTTAGTGAGACAATTTAGTTATGTACAGGTTATATATTTAGGTAATTTAGATAGATTGTTTTATTGTTAGTTATTTATGTACTTTTGTAGGTAGTTAATTTAGTTATTTAGTTTATTTGTAAGTTAGATAGTTAGGTAATTAAGTTATATATAGGTAGTACTTGTAGTAACTATAGTTAGTAAAATTACTTATATAGTTAGATAGATAGCTAGGTAGTTTAGATACTTATTTATTTAGGTAGACAGTGGGATACTTAATTATGTATGTAATTTAGTTATACTCTTATTAGTTAAACTCATAATAAC